AAAAAATATGTACGGAGTGGTGCTGATAAAGTCCAGAATAAGAAAGTCCTTCGCCGAAAGACCACAATTCAGAATCAGGTTTCTATTTATGATAACTGCGAATAAGATTCGATGAAGAATAATATGTAAATCGGATTGCATTGTTCGATGACGTCTAAAAAAGAGGCAACTAAACCATGCGGCAAACGATATAAGACATGACCAATATTCGGCAAAACCCGCATATGTATTAAAGCTGAACAGCTGACAATGAATTTAATGAGCATCAAGTTCAGATGGCTAATACCTTTATCTTGCGTTTTCTGAGCTCCTCTTGTTGGTCTAGGAGCAGTTCAGAGCTGGAGCTCCTCATTGTTCTGAGCTAAGACATTTGGTGGCACACGAAAATCAGCGCTTCACACTTTTTGACCCGGTTTCCTCATTGTGGAAGCTCAATGAGGCCACCCTCGTCAATGCGCCAAGAATCCCTGAAAAGGGTGGGTTACGGCGTTGCCAAACACAACACTGCACTTGCAGATTAGTGTTAAAATCGCTCCTGTATAAATGGAGTCACACAGAATCAAATGGAATGGAAGCGCAATTAGTTTTCCGATTTTTCACCGGGTTTAACTTGCTTGGGGTTAAAAAACATAAAAGTTGTGCTACTTTGCTACCAGTTTGCGAATTATAAAGGAAATGAGGACAACTTTGGCAGCAGGCGAAATGCGCTAGCGCAAAGAATTATTCGATATAAGTGCAGAAAGTTTCCACAAGCAATAGAGCCAAATATCATAAAATTTAGAAAATATCCAAGTAATTTACTTTGAAGATAAAAGTCTTAGGAAAAGCGGCAAATTAGAAACTTTTTTAAATCTACAAGGTTGAAGCGGCTACCGGCTACATACTGAAGAACCTTTTTGCTTGGATTTTTTGCCCAAAAATTGAGGTTCATTGGAAATACCGAATCTCGTGGAACTCTACATTTGGGATTACGTTACCCGGAAACGATAAATGAAACACAAAAGTGAATTTTGAAACATTTTTGTGTCTTTCTACATCACTCATTCACTCGCCTTTTTATCGGGAATCAATAAAAAATTTCCTAATCATTATATGGCTTTAAGAGCCAACAATCATTATATATATAGTGCCTAAATATCATCTAAAAAAGTATAAAGTAGCAATTTAGAAAATTCAATAAATTAACCGTCTGTCATGGCGAATGTTCAACTATGATGATTTACTATAAAAGCGAATGCGCTTAAATTTACATTGGTTTTATTAATTCCTATAAAGAAGCTCACTAAACTCACTAAAGAGTACAAATTACCACAAACTCGTGATTTTCGGGTTTCTAAGCCGTCGGGGACTTCATGTTTTTCTTAACATTTCGAAAGAACGAGTGGCCTACGTTTAGACTAACCTGCTGTTTCTGCGAAGTAAAAGATCATTTATATCAAAAACAAATGATAAATTTCAAAAGTTGCAAAGACTGCCACAAAAAGGTAGGGAATGTGAATTCGTGGTCTCATAAACTCAATTGATCTTTTTTATCTAAAATTCTTGATTTTGCGTTATAAGCAATAGAGGGATTTAAACTAAAAGTTACCGCAAGACTAAAAACGCAAACAACATTGAAATCCGAAGGAAAACTGAAAACTCAGAGAAAAAATCGAGAAAAGCATGGAGTTTTTTGTTTGTTCTGGCTGACTGCCACCTTTTATTAGTCTTTGCAGAAACAAGTTGTCGTCTCTGCGCTTTTTTCGCACCGGAAACTCTAAAGGGAAAATCATGTATTAGCCATAGAGGAAATTAAATAATTTTCTTACTTACTCTTACTTACTTTACTAATTATTTTACTTACTCTATGGTACTGGTCACAGCACAGATCACAGAATAACCTCTATGATCTGTGGGCCAAACTGCTTAAAAGTTCGGTTCGGTTTTCAAGTTTTCGCCTATCAAAGGTTTTTTCCTGTCAAAGTCAGTACGATCGAAAGTAATTAGTTTTGTTTTTATTTTTAATTATTTACTTTACGACCCACTCCCATAAATTAGATCATACGTAAGTGATAACATAAGTCTAATCTTTGCATTGTACTGATCACATAAGCTTTAGAATTTTCCCATTTAGAGAGCTGTAAATAACTTGAGCTTTAAACGTTTTGCCCCTCCCAATAAAAGCATGTCAACAGATGATACGTTATGTTTTTAATTAAAATGAGCCCTGCAAATCTTAACATATATATTTTTCAAAAAACTACAATTTATGATTAGAAGCTAAGCACTAGATTCGAAAACAAGCATTTAAAAATATCTTATTAACCTAACTTTTACTATCCTCATAGTATTTGCATTTAACATTTGTTTTCGCAAAAGCCACTTGTAAATTTGGCGAAAAATTTATATTGCGTATTTATGTTTTTTCATATTTCTTAAATCTTGCAGTATTTTTGTGCCAAAAGCATCACAACCACGTTTTAAGCAATTATATAGTTGCATTGGGTAGTAATTAGTAATTCCTCTAATTTGCACACTAATGCCTGATAAAACTTACACCTTAGAACCCACAAGGCAAGTGCATTTGCAGTAGCATTTTTAGTTTATGCTTAATCTAAACAATTTTGCCCTAAAACTTTGATATCCTTTCAGATGAGATATTAATAGGTAATGGACCTCTCAATACGATAAATCGTAATTCGTTTACAAAATGCTGCGATCTTTTATTCCATTGTTTATTTGTTACACCGTCCAAGTGCAATCTGAAATTCTTGAGAAGAACACCCTAGAATATAGCAGCTTTGGCCCAGATTACTCCAACCACCAGCAAAATGGTGGCATGTACTATGAAGAGTTAAAGTGCCCGGAGCACTGGATACCTTTTCAACAGTACTGTTACAAATTTATTAAGTCGCCCCAAAGACCGTATGCTGATGCCAGAGATTTGTGTCAAGTAAGTTAAACTTTTTGGAATCTCAATACGTAGAACTTATGAGAAAACATATTTTTAATGCACCGATGAAAGTAAAAAAAGTGTGAACTATATTAAAGTTCTGTATTTATTTAATGTTAGGCTTATGCAGGCGAGCAAGCATACAACAGTGGCTCAGATTTGGTATCTCTTAGCACTATAGAAGAGCACAGTTTTCTTGTGCAACAATTGAACCGTTATGATCCTCAACATCGTCGATGGTACATTGGGGCGCATCAAACGGTGTCTAATATTTACTCAAACCCTGATGGGTCGCAACTACCTCCAATGGAAAGTGCCTTTATCAAGGATGAAATTTCAACAGGGTATGGTGCTCCACAAAGGGATTTTCTAGTGTATAAGTTTTCTAAAACGCTGATGCATTGGGGACTGGAGCCTGTAGTTGGGGATGAATCCCTGCCATTTATTTGTAAAGCTTACTTAGGAGCAATTGAAAAACTGAAAGCTGATGAACGAAACTACGCATATGGAATGGATATATTTGACCCAGAGAGAGTGCCTAGAGGTCCGCATTTTATTAAACAGCCAGAAGACGCGATTTTTGATACTTCGAAAAGAAATTTGTACAATGATATACATTTAAGTTGTTTGGCTGGAGGTTACCCAACTCCAACATATAAATGGTATAGAGAAGAATATGAAAATGACAGACTAGTGCCCAGAGAGATCAACCCATTGGAGGATGGAAGATATACAATAAGTGGTGGTACTTTAATAATCAATGATCCTCAACAGAAACGAGATAGGGCCACATACCATTGCAGAGCTACTAATAAATATGGTACCATTATTTCGGAGAGTGTCAATTTGAATTTTGGTTTTATTTTGGAATTTGTTCTGAAGAGAAGTGCCGAAACTGGCGACTTGAATTGGGGTAAAGCTATTTATTGCGACCCCCCCAATCATTTTCCATCAGTAAAATATTCTTGGTCAAGAGACTACTTCCCCAACTTTGTTGAGGAAGACCGAAGGGTGTTTGTCTCAAACGATGGCGCACTCTACTTCTCGGCTCTGGAAACTATTGATAGAGCTAATTACAGTTGCAGTATTCAATCGGAGTTTTCGGACTCTGGAAGGAATGGACCGTTATTTCCATTACGCGTCAATCCACATTGTAAGTCAATGATTAGTTATTGCTAATTTCTGTACTCTAAAACGCAATTTTTTATGTCAGCTAATTACCAGAATCTGAAATTCTCTAACAACTTTCCGAAAGCGTTTCCCGATACTCCAATCGCTGGCAAGGAGGTTCGACTGGAATGTGTGGTTTTTGGATAGTAAGTTTAATGCTATACTACACAAATGAAATACATTGTATAATATTTTTGTTATGTAGCCCTATTCCCAGCTATAATTGGACTAGAAAAGGATCTGTATTCCCTAGAAATGCGTATTTCACAAGTTTTAATAGAGTTCTTATCATTCCGCACGTGCACGTGGAGGACGAGGGTGAATATACGTGCCGTGCTTACAATGACAGGCAGATCATTGAAAATTCAGTTGTTTTAAACATCCAAGCGGAACCCAATTTCACCATTCCCTTGACTGATAAACATATAGATAAGAAAGGAGATCTGGTGTGGACCTGTGAAGCTTTTGGCATCCCCGACGTGAATTACACCTTTTTTAAGGATGGAAGACAATTCTGTAAGTATGAAGAAACTAATTGTTGTCAAACAACGATTTTCTAGAACTTAATTTCGGAATTATTTGTGCCAGCAATGTTAAATCTGGACCCTGAAGACCGAGGACGCATAAATATAAGAGACAACGTGTTAACGATAAGTTATCTTAATGATAAAAGAGATCCTGGGATGTACCAATGCCAAGCGTCAAATACCCTTAAAACGCGTTATTCTTCAGCACAGTTGCGCGTTTTGGCTTTTCAACCATCGTTCAAAAAGAACCCCGTTGAATCAGAAACGTATGCCGCAGAAGGAGGCAATGTTACCATCAAATGCAATCCCGAAGCGGCTCCGAGGCCCCAATTTATCTGGAAGAAAGATGGAATAGAAATTGGTTCAGGAGGCCATAGACGGATTTTTGAAAACGGCAATTTACTGATAAGTCCGGTCTCAAGAGACGATGAAGGCATTTACACGTGTGCCGCCAGCAATGAACTGGGGCTCGCTGAATCCAACGGACGATTGATTGTTCTACGTAAGTACTAATAGCTAAAGTTAAATTTTACTTTAGAAACTTCTAGTGTTCGTATTTTTCTTATTCTGTTATTAAAAGTGAAAACGACGTTTTTTAGGTGGGCCAAGAATTGTCGAAAGCCCAGGTCCGAATATCATAATCATTAACGGACGCAACATCGATCTTCAGTGTTACGCTACAACGGACGAAATGTTGGATATCGCATATATGTGGACCCATAATGGAATGCGAATCCGTGATATAGATATTATTAACTCAAATGATCGAATAGTGAGTGAATTCGGATTTTTTTCTGCAACTAGGTGAACAATTTGGGTGTTTCAGAGAATTGACGGCGGATATTTGAGAGTTGCCAATGCGACATTTTCGGACTCTGGAGATTATGAGTGTGTAGTAGAGAGTGCTGTTGGAGCTATTTCATTCAAAACACTCGTAACTGTTCAGGGTCCTCCTGGAGCTCCAGGCGGGGTTCAAGTAATGACAATTCAGAAACACTCATTTACCTTGCAATGGACAGATGGGGCGACACGTGGAATGCCGGTTTACAGCTATTCTGTCAGCGGTAGAACCAATTGGAACAATACTTGGACAGTAATAGCCGTAGGGGTGAGAGCAAGAGAGATTGATAGGTTTACAGGCAGAAAGGAAGCTGACATAGAAATTACTCTAACTCCTTGGTCAAACTATGAATTTCGCGTAAACGCCTGGAACGAGCTTGGTGCTGGACCTCCTTCTGTCCCTAGTCCAAAATATCACACGGTTAAAGATCGTCCCAAAGTAGCACCAAGAAATGTGGGAGGCGGAGGAGGTAAAATTGGAGACCTCACAATAACTTGGACTCCTTTGCGCCCCGACGAGCAACACGCTGCCGGTATCCACTATAAAGTGTTCTGGAAAAGGTACAACGAACAGGTGGAATTCCAAAGTGAGGAGTTAAAGGAGTTCGGCAATACAAATAAGGCTGTTGTTCAGATTGAGCCTACATTTTATTACACTCAGTATCTCGTAAAAGTTCAAGCAATCAATGAAATTGGTCCCGGACCCATAAGTGAGGAGGCTCTGGTTTTCTCAGCTGAAGATATGCCTCAAGTTGCACCGCAACTTGTAGTAGCCCGATCTTTCAATTCAACAGGTATAAATAGTGAAAATCTACTTATCATAAATTTTTATTGTTGCTTATTGAAGCTTTGAATGTGTCCTGGGATCCAATTGAAGTAATTCGAGAAAAAGTGAAAGGCAAGCTAATTGGTCATAGAATAAAATACTGGAAAAAAGACACCCATGAAGAAGACAGTGTTTATTACCTGTCTAGGACCACTCGGCCGTGGGCACTGATTGTGGGACTGCAACCAGACACGTATTATTTTGTTAAATGCATGGCGTACAATTCTGCTGGGGAAGGTCCGGAGAGTGAGAGATACTTAGGCAAGTTTCATAATTGTTTCAATACCATTTCTCAGCTTACTGTACATGTTTCTCTGCAGAACGTACCTATAGAAAAGCACCGCAAAAGCCACCTTCCTCAGTTCGAGTTTACGGTATTAATCCATCTACTGTGAAGGTGCAATGGCGCTACGTTCAGCCGTCCTTAGAAGAAGAACCTTTACAAGGATATAAGGTACGATGCTTTTGTACAGTCCTATAATGTGCTTGGTTTAATAATTCGCTGTGTTTTTGTTTGCAAGTTTTGACCAAGCTAACTTCATTTTCCAGATTCGTGTATGGGAAACCGACCAGGACTTGAGCACCGCAAATGATACGATTATTCCATTTGGTGGCCACTTGGAGGGTTATGTAAATAATTTGTCTCCGGGAAAAACATATCGTATGAGAATACTAGCGTTCTCAAATGGAGGCGATGGTCGTATGAGCTCTCCCGCGCTGGTATTCCAGATGGGTAAGCAACAACCCAATATTTTTTATGTTAAATGATACTAGCCTATTTTTCATTTAGGAAATCCAGATTACTTCCGAGGCAGCTCATCGAGTATTCATAAAAGCTTAACTCTAACATGGCTAGGCGTAGTTTTAAGTTTGATCTTATCTCAAACTTGACCAACCTTCTGATAGGTAGTACAAGGTAGTTAAGAGGTTATATGATATTTGGACAAATCGAATTTTTACTTGTACAGATATTTTATACGATATGTAATATTTAACTTCTAAGATGTAAGAGTAGCAACTAGTGACCACAATCGCACAAAATTTGTGACATATGCAACAATACGACTCCGTCCACTTCTGAAATTATTTTTACAGATGTAAGCTTGAAGTAACTGTATAAGTGCAAAACATGAATTAAGCAAACTAATTTGCCATACACTCTCACTTGCTTCAACGCTACATTTTTTATATTTTTTTATTTTTTGTTTTATTTCAATAAAAATAGATTTTATAAAATTGATGCTTTTATATCACTTATTCCTGCATTTTGACCGCCAAGTCCGCACTGGACCTATTCATTCCACAAACAATTCATTGAAGACGCAATGCTAATTCCGTTGTTTCCCGCGACGGAATGGAGATTTGCGATGTTTTAACGGTGCAACGTGCAACCGAGAATACCAGATGCAATCGCAAGTGCTTTCTTCATGTCGGGATTGCTAAAAGGCTTCATTGATGTCTGACGACTCCGTAAAATTCCTCTTGTTCTGTACGAGATCAAGGCGGGCTTATCAACTAATATACAAGGTTAACAGTTACATTTCCTTCTGAATATAGTTGGTTACAAGCCACCGCTAGATATAAATTGAACTGGAATTTTTCAATTTTTCGTTTATTTGCAAAAAAAATA